AATCCCGACTCCTTTCGCTTTTGCATTCAAGCTGCCAATGAACGATTTTTTCTTTCTTTAGTTAACGTAAAGCATGAATTTACCGAACTTTACTAGAAGAGTATACTGTATAGAATAGAAATCATAAAGTAAACAATTTGAGGGGACTTGTGTGATTTTCATTGAACTTGCGGTGGTTTGCCTATCAACAGACAGACACATTTGATAATTGATATACAATAAAGGTGGGACTAGACAATATAATAAACAAGGTTGTAACTTATGAAACGTTTTCTACATGAAAAAGTAGCAATTGAACTTGTTCACACACCTTTAGTTCTTCAGATCTGATCACTTCCTTTAGGCTAAAACTTTGCTTCTTTTGATCATGATCATGATATTGATTCAGTGTTGGAAGAGCCATTTGATGTTGTTGTGATTCTGTCTTTGCCAATGATGAGATTCGCCTCAGTTTTTGAACCACTCTGCGTCTCACAAGCTCACCTCGAACTACTGCTTGAAGCTTCACCAGTCCCTTCAGTGCATTTAGTGCTTTCCTAGCCTGTAAAAGTTCCACTGGAAGGTAATAACTTGCACTGAAGAGGCAGGGGCATCCTGCATCCTTGTTACCGCAATGAGCTTATATAAATTTAATTACATAAAATATGATGCAGAGAATTCAGAAGTCGGTCCAAAAGGAATTTGGAGAAACTCACAAGGTGTCCTCTGTAAATACTTTGAATTTTAATAGCAGCAGAATTTTGGTTTTTCCTTTCAAATTGACAATGAATATTTGTCATCCGGACCACCTCGGCAGCAGCATTTGCTGCAGCCACGGCAGCTTCAGCTGCAGCTGCTGTCGCAATGGCAACAGCCAAAGAACGCTTTCTCTGCTCTTCTGTTGCCTCAATTAGCGTTTTCTGATCAGGTGCTTCAAGCGCAGGGAACCGTCTGAACTTTAATCTTCGAAATAGCCATTTCCATCCCTTTGATTTCTGATCATGATTTGAGAAACGGTCAGGGTGAACTCAATAATACACGCCTGTCTCATAACGAAATTCAAATGGATATTCGAAAACCAATTAATGTACCTTTTCAGCTTTTGGTTTAGATTCAGGGATGAAAAGTCTTTTCACACAAGTAAACCAATTGATTTTCTTTCCCATTGAGCAACCAAAAAGCTATGAAATCTGGTTTTTGCTCGGATTAACCAGTTGAAACTTGAGGATAGAATAGCTGGTCGAGATCAGGGCGTCTTTTTTCTTCAGAATCATATCTCTTTCTATGAGAAGGAAAACAGAAAAGCTTATTCAAAACATCAGATAAAACTCTGTCGAATCCTATGAAAACATTTCAAGATGATGAAATGGAGTAAACCAAATGAGTATCTAAATATAGTTTTCAGTTACAATATAGGTAAGTAATCAAGAATTTTCCCATCAGTACATATATTTTTTTTTTCTCGAGTGTTGTAGGCTAATCAAAAGATGAAGACTTCTCAAGACTATATTAATGAGAATGAAATCATACCTTGGAAAACTTCATGTCAAAATGCAGGAGAAAGCCAAGACTCCCACATCAAATTTATAGATGTGATAAGGCGACACCAATTGAGAATAAATTAAGAAAAGCATGATGGTACATGTTTAGCGTAGATATAAAGAGGCTCCTATACATGAGAGTAATACAGTATCAGTATAACAGGTCATAAGAGGACGAGGTAGACTAAAGCTAACATATTCTATTATAATTGCTAAAGATCTAGTTGCTTTGAATAAATTATTGAAGTGAACGAAGAAGAAGAACCACGTAACCGAACCAAACTTGTTTATAAAATTCCAACACTATCTTGAATGATGTACAAATGGGGTTCATTTCT